CAGACATGGTGGACATGTTTCTAGGACATTAATTGTGTACTCAGAAGGAGTAAAGGAAAAGGGAAGGAGCTAATCAACAGTAGCTAAATGGACCTAGTAATTAAACTTGTTTCTTTCATTACCCACACAGTGCTCCTCCTAAGTAAAGCCAATTTCTCATAGGCTACATCTCATCAGCTATCAAAGTGATCCCAAAGCAGTCTTCATTAACCTCTATTCCTCTAAGCCTTTGGATTGTTATCTTTATTCTACAGTTACCCAGGTTCCACAATACCTCCTGCTGCTGCCACCGAAAGAATAATTTACTCTATTTACACAACTCTCAGCAACACGCTCCAGAGCAGCAGTGAGATTCCATCATGCACTATTAACAGCGCTTTCACTACATTAATCAGCAATGCTGACGGGTTTTTTTTCTGCAGCTAATGTGCCCAGTGGAAAAGTGGTTGTGACCCTCTATCTTTTCTCGTCACCAGCACTATGGAAGAAATTTTTGTTTCGCACCTAACCAATGTTAGCAACCTCCAAGAGACTCCATCTAATTCATACATAAATAAATAAACAATCCCCAGGTACACATAAAGACATTGACTTAAATCTGCAAATCAAGAAATGCTGGCCCCTGACTCTGCATGTCTAAGTGCCCCAATTTGCTTAGGAAGCGTAAGATATACGTTTTGCATCATCCCCTATTCACTACAGTTCCCTGAAATATTGATATACAACAGGTTATACAAAGCACTCATTGTGCTTACACTCCCCAAAGCCAGAAAAATCAACGCTAAGCCAGAACGGTAATGTTACACTAATGTGACCCTTTATGGTGCAACGGCCTTTCATTATTTTTTTAATAATGGAAACATTGGCATCACAGGAGCACTACTGAACTAGAGGGATAGAAATTCAAGGGAAGTGCTAAGTGAAATTGGTTTTGTCTGTTCATTCCTCAGATGCGCAATATGCTGTTGTGTACACATTTTACCCATGTCTTCTCCCCTCCTTGTTACACCCCTCTCTGTAGATCACCCAGATTAAACTGAACTGAAACAGGCTCCATATAGAGCTAAATCTGCTCTTCAGTTCTGCAAGCAAGATGTGATTGTGTGTAGCAAATTACCCCCATTCCATCATTTCCATGCTTGGTTTGTTTTCTGAATCCCAGTCCTGCTCATATGCTGCTACACTTGCAATCAGATCCTCCCTGTTCAAAGGAAACTGGGAGCTGTTTGTGAGACTGCAGGATGAATAGAAGATTGAAATATGTCTTACAATAGTCAGTATTCCAGGAAGGTTCCCCACAATCAAAATAAAGTATCAGTAAAACTGTTCCATGAGGATCATAAAAATTACATGAGCAATGTAAAAGTTTGTGTAAGTATTCCATAAAACTCAACCAATATCAACAGCACCTACACAAGCATATCCAGGCACAATTAATATGCAGAGAGAGGGTTACCTGAGTAAAAGTTGTTTGCAGAGTGCTGGCATCCTGCAAGTGGGATGTTGCTGATCAATTAGGGTGTATCTAGACTACAGAGTTTTGTCGACAAAAGTGGACTTTTGTCGACAAAACTATACCTGCGTCTTCACTACCACCGAGTTCTATCGACATAACATTGACAGAATTCGGCAGTTTTGTTGACGGCGGTATACCTCATTCTACAAGGATTAACGCCTTTTGTCGACAGAGTTCTCTTGACAGAAGGCGTTACTGCATCTACACTATCCTTTGCGTCTACACTCTCATGTCGACAAACCGGCTTGCTTTGTCGACAGAACTGGATATAGTCTAGCCTCTGTCAACAAAAGCCTGTACATGAGGCAAACCCCGTTATTAAATTAAACATGCTAATGAGTAATAAGTTCATAAGCAGGTAAGATCATCATTAACCACACCTTACACTCTGCCCTCTTCTCATCATAACAATATGGAAATAAAGCTTGTGAGTGATTTCCTGCTTCCCTACCCAAAAGAGATTAAGATGCTGGCTTCTGGTCATGATTTTCTTAAGTATCCACGCAGATACTGAGAAAATTCAAAGCTTTCTGGAGCAGAGACCCTTCCCTATTTTATGTTTTTGCACTGAACAGAACTATACATATACAGGTATCACATTGTCAGCAGGCTCAATCTTAAGACCTTCAACACCAAAAGCCCAAAACCCGGCTACCACTAAAGCTAAAGGAGAACTACTGTAGTGGTGAGATAGTAGAAGGCTGTATAATTTCGAGGCCAACCACTAGAGGGAGTCATGATCTCACACACTAAGTCATTATATTACATCCACATTCTAGACAGTATAAGAAACAAATAAAACAACAGAGCATCAGCTGATCCCGGATATGGCTCAAGGAAAGAGAAAAATCAGATTTGCTTTCTTATAAAGCACTTTGTCAGAAACTCAAGATCCTCTCCTGGGAGCTTTCAAATCAACTGTAATGGAAGATTTAAGAACATACCTGATTGCCTATATTTTAAGACAGAAAATATTAGACAAAAGAAAGGAGATCTTGTCAATTTTATAAACTGAACTCAAATAATTGTGACTTAGCAGGTTTTAAGAGTTTTCATTTGAGCCAGGTCTTACTGCCTCTTTCATTTGAAGGCATCTTTGAAAATCAAGAAGTAATTTTGATCATGTTTTTGTTTTTAAGTTAAAATGATCCAGTTGTGACCAGCATGAACAAGCACTTCCAAAGGGCTCTTTTTCCCCTCAATAAAAAGATTCTCTCTGGCTATAAATAAATTAAGACAAAATCATTTTCTGTAACAGACAGTGAGCAGCAGCTATCAAAATCAGTAACTGTTAAAACTTTGCCACCTCCACTTTTATTTTTACTTTGGTCATTTGTTTTTGTTTTTTAAAAGATATCCAACTGTTTTTCCAGCTTACGCCTCCTAACAAATCCATGAACCAATTTAGCTGGCTGCCTGTTTGGCCAACAATTTTTACAACTGGCTAAAACATTTCAGTAGCAGTTAAAGAGCATTTATAGTAAACTTTATTGCCTTGCTTGAATCCTACTTGTCATTAATATTGGATGGCAGGGACAATGATTATCCCCTGAACCAGAACCTACCAGACACCTCAGGAGGCATGTTAGTAAAAGCAGGCTGAGATGAACAGAGGGTGTTTAACCAGTGCTGAACTATAGGACATTTGACTGCTTTGTGTTCAACATGTTTATGCTCAAAGTAGTCATTTTGCATGTTGCTATCGCTTGATCATGTCAGACAACACATTGGCAACACAAAAAGCCACAAACTCAAAAAACCTTTTAGATGTATGCTGAGGTGTTGCTTCTAACAAGAACAGACTTACGGAGTCAAGGAAATGAAAAGGCTTTGGAAAGAGAAGAGAGTGAGCACAGGGGTTCAGGTGACAGCACATTCTACTGAAGAATTACATTTCCTTCTTGCAGTGAATAGCCATGCTTAAAAATACTGCCACCTGTAAACAGCTCAGCCTGGGAAGTAAACAGATAGAGAGAGGCAAACAAACCCACGTCTCCTTATGAAACACCTAAGAATAGTAACATTAAAGATTGTATTGCATTAAGATATACTTTTCTACTCGTGGTTGCAGCAATAACAATATAGCCAACAGGTCTCTGGAGAAGTTCCAAGAACAAAGGACTCAGTCATTATTTAGTTTGTAAGCTCTTTGGGAAATGGACTGCATTTTTATTCTGTGTTTGTACAATGTATAGATCCATCAGGTCCTGATCAATGATTGTGACTCCTTACAAAGTAACTAATCCCAAAAGAAAAGTTTGATTAACCAAGACGACTACTGAATAAAGTACATATCTCATAGATTAAGTTTGTGGGGGATGCCAGTATCAATACAACAACTTCTACAATTCCAAAGTTAAAACAAATTACTTCCCTTCATGTCAAACCTCCAAGAAAGCTTAAACAAAATAAAAACACAATCCCTACTTCTCTGGGGGTCAGAAGCAAAATATATAATTCATACCTTCTGATGTAGATGGTCTATCCAGATAGGGAATCAAATTGAGTTACTTAAAAGATTTGGATCCTTGTAGTATTTCCTGCAGAAATCCCTGAAATCCTCAGACCAACTTGACTTAACCAGATTTGGTAGCCAAAAAAGCAGAATTAACATGTTCCTCTCAAACCAGGCCTACATTTAGAGGTGCAAGAATCAGTGTTGGATCTATTATACCAACATGTGAATACTGTCACTTAGAACATGGACCAAGCCAAACTCAAATCAGGAGTCTAACAGTGATTGGCGCACAAGATAACTTGATGCAGAATGCCGCAAGGACACGGATTATAATTCCCTCAGTCCTGCACTAGTGTAAAATATCACAATGCCTATACAGTCCAGTTATGGTGGCAGAGTCTGGATAATTTTATACCAGTTACATCACAGTAACAAATTAGCTTGCAAAAAACACTCAACCCCAAATTCAGGAAGCAGACGGAAGGTGCAGTAGTTCAGGCACACTGCTCCTATGATTGTTCAAGAGTTGTGTACTATCAGAATACCACTAGCTAAAGGCAGAAATTCAAAGTCTTCTCACATGACCCATCAAGAAAAATTTCAAAGTCTTTGCAATGATCTTTTCCACTTGCCTAATCACAATCACTTGAACCCAAGGATTTCTAATCCTCTTCTACTGCTTTGTCTCTTTAGCTTTTAAAGGTGAAAATGGTTGGGAAAGCAGCTTACATTCCATCTGAACCCTGAATTCATTTCAGCCTAGGAAGTAAGCATGATTAAAGTGTTCCACATATTTATACACCTCCAATCCTCAAGACTATCCCACAATCTGCGGTTTTCCTTTAAATCACAAATGTAATCTTCAACATCAGCTTAGTAAAGATAATGACAATACAGATGATTTCTTGGAGGCAACAGGACAAAATGAAGAGCAGCAAGCATCTTGGACTGCAGCCTTTTATTTTCTGTTCACTTATATTAAAAGTAACAAATTCCTGCAACACACCATTTGTTGGCATCACCTACCTGTTTGTGATGGTACAGTTCTGCTCTTTCAACACAAGCTCCCTCTGCTGCAGGGCAACAATCTGTCTCGAGAGATCATCAGGGGTTCTAAACAATTAAACAATAATGGAAACAGTTAAACATAAACATGTCAGTGGCTGAAGTCCGAGATTTGACTGTATAAAAAGGATCACACAGAGAGGCAGATAAGATTGGTGCTATAGGCTAAGGCTGACACAGTCTATTACAACAACTGAACTATCACTGGTTTGTGTATTGTCAAGCACACACAGCCAGTTGTATTCATTAGGACATCAAACCCCTGCTGCACTCTAAGCCTACCCCTTCCAGTCAATAGAACATCAGGCCCATCACTTCGTACAGAATCACGCTCTCAGGCTTTGTCTATACTAACCCCTGCTGTCAATCTATGTGACAAATAGCATAGCTGAAGTTGGCATACTTGTTGCAGCATCTTGCATGCGGTAAGGATGCAAGGGCCTTAGCAGCAAGGGGAGAAATGTCTTCAGTCGACAGAATTAACCAATAAACCTACGCTTACTGGTTAATTGTGTAGTCGTCTACACGTTGACATCCCTACCAAAAAGTGCACTGTAATTATCTCTGCCTATATGAAATGCCTCAAAACAGCTCCTAAAGACACAGCTCCTTCTGTTTAGATGGACAGTGAACATGTATGCAATAGGAAAATCCATACTATTATAAAGGGAGTCTTCTCACAGAAGAGTGGAAGTAGATGGTGAACAGTGATTTTATACCAGAAACAGTCGTAAGACCCCAGAATTCACTTTGACTATGTTGTCAAACCAACTAAGCATTCAAGATAACAAAAGGTTGCAGATCTACTTTAGTTACTTTTTAAACCTCAAGAAAGTAAATTAAATTTTAAATTTTAAAGAGATTTAGAAAATGAATCTTTGAGCCTGCACATGTAGAATATTTTAATACACTGAACAACACTGCCCTCTCCAGGATGGAATACACTAAACTAGTTGACATAACTGAGCTTGAAAAGAAGAGACACACAATTTAACACATCAAGCAAGCATTGTTTTTGAAGTTAAAGACTTTACATTGATTTCCAAAACTGGAGAGGTTATGGAATAGTCGAATAGAGTATCAACTTCTCACTCCTTCCCCCTCTCCCCCCACCCCCCAGCAGCAAAGGGGGGTCGGGAGGGCAACAGGAGCTGGTGCCAGGGGTGGGTGGCTTAAAAGCCAAATTCCCCCCAGAACCAGTTCCGCAGTTGCTGCCTTGCCCCCTTCCGCCTCACTGCCTCTATCAGAGGCAGTACGAGGGATAGGGGAGGTCACTGTGAAATAGTCTCTTCCCGGCTCACCATGGGCAGAAGCTGCTCAGGCAGCAGCCCCTGCTAGTGGTGACCTGGGTTGGCCACGGACAGGGGCTGCTCCGGCAGCAGCCTCTGGCCACAGCCACCATAAACAAGGGCTGGTACCGAAGCAAGCCTCTGTTCACAGCAGACAAGGCTGGTCACTGCAAACTGGGGCTGCTGGACTCAGTACAAACCAGAACCGAACAGTCCCAGATCATGCTGATCCAGGACGCTACACCTCTGCATTTTAAATGTAGTAAGAGCCATAGTGCGGGTGGCTCCCAGAGCCAGCACAAGCCAGGACTTCTCAGGCCTGGCTCAAGTTGGCTCCTGGAGCTACCCCTTATCAACTACACGATAAGTCAGATATTTAACATTCCTATCCAAAACACAGGAAAGTCACAGTGTAACAGATGTTACTAAATGAGCGAGCACCAACTTCACTTGCTCCCATAATCTAAAGAAAAACAGATTTAATAGCAAAGACTGCTTTTCCTTTAGCTCAGTGAATCATTTGCAATTCAGTGCTCTAATTTCTAATCTGTACAAAAGGGAGGTTACTCACCCTGTGAAGTAGCGACAGTACTTCAAGATGTGTATCCCCATGACTATGTCTACACTGGCAGCTTCTTGCGCAAGAACATCTTGCGCAAGGGTTCTTGTGCAAGAAGTATCGCGCAAGAAAACATGCACACTGCCATATGCGAGCTGAGAAGGAGTTTGGAGCGTGAAGGAGGGGTTTGGAGTGTGGAGAAAGACAACTGATAAGGAGACCGGAGGAGCCAAGGAGAGCAGCAGCAGCCCTGATAAAGGCTGCAGGAAGATGCCAAACACCAACAAGGTGAGTGAATCTTATACGGTGACTCCTAAATTGTGGGACAGTGGCCTGACTAGGGGCCAAGGCGTAGGATTGACCATACCACAGTAGCTTGACGCTTGCTATGAAGTAGTACGCTCTTTACTTGTTGTGAGCACTTCTGTTCCACCGCCAAAAATCAGACAGGTACTAGGCCATCAAGTGTAGTGTTTGAGGCTGGGGATGGAGAATTGTGCCTCCTTTCTGAAATAAAAGGCCTGGGCAGGTCAGAAGTGGGTAGGGAGGTCTGAGAGACATTTGATAGAGATAGGGAAACCAGGTCTGCCTGGACCACGCTGTGGCTATAAGGATTACCTGGGTTTCATCTAGCTGTATTTTCCAGAAAACCCTGGGGAATGAGCCAGATAGGATGGAATGCATGGAACAGGTGAGTATTCCAGGGGATAAGCAAAGCATCTCCTATATATATTTGGGGCTTATGCCTGCTCTCAAGAAATATTGGGGACATTTGGAGTTCTGGTACGTTGCAAATAGGTCTATGTGCAGACAACCCTAACATTGGAATAAGTCATGAGTGATTAGCTCATGTAACTCCCACTCGTGATTTGTCACAAAGTGGCAAATGGTATTCTTTTTCCCAGGAAGATATGAGGCGGTGATAGTAATACTATGGTGGATACACCAGTTCCACAGTCGAATCACCTTTGCACAGAGGGAATGCGAGTGGGCATCCCCCTGGCGATTGATGTAGATCATCATACTCATATTGCTGGTGAAGATATGCACCGCTGAGCCTTAGATACACTGATGGAAAGTGTATGCATGCATTGTGGATCACTCTGAGCTCGAACAGATTGATATGAAGTCCTGACAACGTTGGACCCCTTGCCCAGTGCGAACTGTTATAAAAATTGAGCACCCCAACCTAAAAGCGAAGCATCCATAGTGATCTGTTTGGAAAGTTGTTTCTGGTGGAATGGTACACCAGTACAAAGGTTCTTTGATTTGATCCACCATCTTAGTGAGGTGAAGACCTTTGGAGGAACAGAAACATATCTGTGCACCTGGTGTTGAGGTGGGGTATTACACTGAGGCAATCCAGTGTTGGAGGCAGCGAAAGCATAGGCGGGCATGAGGAACAATGTGTGTGGTAGCTGCCATTTGTCCCATAAATCTGAGAAGTTATTATAGGGACAGTTGAATTTGTGGTCATGATTGAGGTTAAGCTTCTGATGGCCTTGAAATGTTGATTCGGGAGGTATGCGTGTGCTGTTGTGGAATCCAGGTAGACCCCTATGAATTCCAAGGTTTGAGTAGGGTGGAGGGTGGATTTTTGTTGTTTGATGATAAATCCCAGAGACTGGAAAAGGTTCTTAGTAAAAATGATCATGTCTCTTGTGGCCTGTTGAGAGGTGCTTCAAATGAGGCAATCATCTAGGTAAGGGAATACTGTGATACCGTTTCGACAAAGGTGCGCCGCAGCGACTGCTAAGGTCTTGGAGAAGACTCTTGGGGCAGAAAAGAGTCCGAAGGGAAATACTCTATACTGCAAATGATCTGACGCTACTGTAAAGTGTAGAAAGCACCATGCGCTGGATGCATGGTTACATGAAAGTTCGTGTCTTGTAGGTCAAGGGCTGCGAACCAGTCTCCTTTTTCCAGTGCCAGAATAATCATAGCGAGTGTAATTATCTTGAAATGTTGCTTGCGGAGGTATTTGTTTAGTTGTCGGAGGTAAAGGATGGGTCTCCAGCTCCCTGTTCTTTTCTCTGTGAGGAAGTAATTTGAGTAAAAACCTCCTCCTTGGTATTTCATGGGAACCCGTTCTACGGCTCCTATAATTAGAAAGTGTGAGACCTGTTGGCAGAGCAGTATTTCATGAAAGGAGTCCCTGAAGAGGGAGGGGCAAGGTGAGAGGGTTGGGGGAGACAGATGTTAGGGGAATAGAATGCCCACATCTGAAGATTTCCAACACCGATCCGTGGTGACTGATGCTGATTGGTTTTAAAAGGGGTGCAGGAAGTGGTGGTGGAAGAAGATGTTGGACTAGCATGGCATTGGTGTGGAAGAGAGGTTGGGCAGGCCCCCAAAGCTTCCCATCTAGAAGCCTGTGAGGTGGAAGAGCTAGTGTTCAGGGCTCTCCGTTGGTGGTTTCTAGGTCTGAAATGACCTTGGTCAAATGGTCGTTGGTGGTGTTATCTGCAGAAGGATGAGTCCCTGTGTCTCTGGTAGGGTACGTAACACGCCTTCTCTGATAAGGGGGAGTGTACATCCCTAGGATACATAGGGTGGTACAGAAGTCCTTGCTGGAGTGTAGGACTTTGTCTTTGTGGCAAAGAGTTTACCTTTGTCAAATGGTAGATCCTCGACCTTCGCTTGGAGGTCCTTGAGGACTCCAGCTGCTTGCAGCCAAGACAAGCAACTCATTACTATAGACATTGCTGTAGCTCTTTATGCTGTGTAAGCAGCATCGAGAGCCATTTCTAAAGCTGAGAGAGATATGGTGTACCCCTCTTGTACAACAGACTTTAATATAGGTCTCTTATGGTCAGGAAGATGTTTCATCAGCTCTGTTAGTTTTGCATAGTTGTCGAAGTTGTGACTGGCAAGCAGGGCTGTATAATTTGCTAGGAGAAGTTAGAGTGTCAAGGAGGAGTACATCTTCCTCCCAAATGAGTCCAGACATTTGTGGGTTTTGAGTCCAGACATTTGTGGGTTTTAACCAGCGTATTTGTATTCAGAGTTTTTAGACCTCTGATTTGCAGCATCAACAACTAATGAGTTGGGCTTAGAGTGTAGAACTAAAAAGTCCATGCCTTTTGATGGAACAAAGTATTTTCTGTCAGCCCACTGATTAGTCAGGGGGAAAGGGGTTGTGGCTGGTGTTTGCCAAACTTCATCTGCTGCTTCCAAAATTGCTTCATCAAGGGGAAAGC